CTTTTATTAAAGCTGTTCCTCTTAAATCAGGTATTTTGGTTCAGAAAATGTTGCATTTTTACCATTTGTTTCGTCCTGCTTTTGCCTCCAGCTCTTACGTTGCCAAGCCAGGTGACAAAAGCAGATGCAAGCGCAGATTCCATCACAGACGTTTTATTGAACGTCAGCTTCTGGTCAGGGAATTATATCTCTGAATATGCTAAAGCTAACTAAAGGTGGTGGACTGGACATCTTTCCAAACCTTCACTTTGGTCTACATTTTGTTCTTTGTGTATTTGATCTACGCACATTTTTAAAACACGACAAGTAAAATGACCAGTGTCATACTGCGCACCGACAAGTCTAAGAAAGTCGAGGAATGACGCACAAAAGACGGTGACAAGTCGAAGATGACCGCGCCGTGGAAAGCTTCAGGCAAGAACAAAACTACGTCTGACAGAAAATCTGTGAGTTTACCTGAAGAGGGTCGTGTGGACATGGGACGTCCTCACAATGTGAGGGATTTGGGTAAGAAGGTCAACCTGAGACGTGGGATGCTGATAAGACGTCTATCAAAGACGACGTTTTAACAGAAAAAACAACTGATTTCTTATGAAAAAAGGCACAGAAACCTGGTTGGGCAAGTGTGAAAATCCTCAAGCTGAAGTGTTACTTCGTCATGATAATGTAAAATGATTTTGCAGTTGTTTTTTAAGAAACGTTTTACTGTAAAGCTCCTCAAAATTATGGGGTTGTTTGTTCCTCACACTCGGATGTCTTTTTGAAAATCTTTCTGGAGATGATCCCTACAAACAAAAGTTACAGGGAGGAGAAGTTAGTGACCACAAATGTACAAAGATGATCAACTGCTTCTAAAACCTCCGTCCATACAGTGTCTGTACCCTCTTCCTTGCAGGGTCGTCACCATGAAAACATGTTAAAAGCACTTGAATTGTGTTGCTTTTTGTGAACGTGAAAAACATTTAGAGTTGCAAAGCGCTCGCCGAAAATAACTCCCTAAGCCCAGAGCGTGAATTGCAAACCCTTGTCTAAGCTCTTGGCTTTTCTACTTCAACTTATCTTTATCATCCTGAAACTCTGCAGTGTAATCCTCACACAGTGACCATTTATGCACACCACAAGCAAAGACTTAGCAGCTGCCTGCTCTGAGCAGTTTTTAAACCCTGCGGGGCGACCAGCTTGGGTAAAGTGGACATTTCGGGCAGGGGCCGTTTTGGAAGAGACGGTGGCCTCATTAGAACAATGCAGACAAATGAGAAAACTAGTGTTTCGGATGAATTAATCCGGTCTAAAATACAGTTGTGAGCATGATCGGGACTCTTCAGATTTAGAGCAAGGGGCATTGAAGAGAATTAAAAAAGGATCCAGAAAGTTAAACATCAACGACTAAGATAACGGTCACTAGAGAAGATTTACCATTTCCTATCACAGTATCATCAGAGTGTTCATTATTAACGCATCTTAATCTTTAACTTGTTTAAACAAGTGTATCCTCAACCCCTCGTCACCTCTTCCCCCGGCCTCTCTGGTTCTCCATGGAGGAAAAAGAACACCGTTTTGTTTTTTTTCTGCCTTTTTTCTTTTTGGCTTATAGCGAAACGGCTTGACAAGCCTTGGACGAAAAATCTGCAACAGTCGCCTGTGAGTTCAGCCAAGACTGTTAGGCTTTTGACGTTTGTGACTCTCAACGGCCATTTATCTATCTGCCTTGAGCCAAGACAAAAAAAAGAAAAAAATATTATTAATAATAATAATAATAATAATAGCCTCTGCGTATTTATGTCCCTCTCAGGATGATCGCTTCCATCAGCGCTAACGTTCATCCAATATACAGAGCAAACCCCGTGCACTGTGGATTAAAAATGATGCCCAAAACGGTGACACTCTAATCACCCTCAGCTGCACTCTGCAACTCTAAATCAAAGGTCAAAAAGTCAGTAAACACCAAGTCTGCCTAGCATCTGGCCGCTGGCATGTTTTAGCTGTTGGATTTCTGGTCTGAAGGCATGTTTTCTCATCGCTCAGGCAGAAACACATGAAACTTTCCATCGTGAACCCCCGCCCTCCGCCGACGGACCCAAACAGCTGCGCTCTTCAGGCAGCAGCGATATTAAAGTGCAAACTGGCTATTTATAGGGACATAAAGATAAATTAACATGATGATCTCACTCTTTGAAAATGCACCAGCTACTATAGAGAGTCTGAAGGGTGGAGAGAAGCTTCCTAATGGGACTGAGTGTGGACAATAGCCCCACTTGTCCCCACATCTTCTGTGTTTTTTCCTGGTTTAATAAAGCCTGTGGTATACAGCTCTGAAAAATACATATAGTCCATCTGTCACTTGCTATAATCCTCTTGTTGTGACTGTGCTGGTGTTTTGTTCTTCGGTTTACGCGGTGCTATTTCCACACTCTCACTTGTTCCTGAGGCAAATCTCTGTAAAATTGCACGCAGCCGCCGCGCTGTCTCTGGACTTCAGAGCTGCTGTTTGGTGCCACTCCTGACAAACGCCGACTCGCGTACATCACCGTCCCCGGTGAAGCCGTGTCCCTATCGGTTGGGCAGCGTCGGCTGCAGCTGTGGCGTCGCATCAGAGCCGCAAAACCGGAGGTATCCGATTGGGTCACGGCAGATCAGGTGTCCAACTGTGACTAACTGATTGGCCGATGAGTTACCAGGAGCCCCAGAAGTTCTGTGGACGTCTCGCTCTGTGGCAACCGGACTGTGTTTTGCCACTGCTGTGGATGCAGCCATGACGCAGCGGTCGCCGCCGCCGCCAACCGGGGATGTTTCCACTGCAAGTGAAACCTAAAAATAGAAATACGCCGGGGCAGTTCCATCCACTAACTTCCATTGTAGCTGTTTGGGTATAATGTGAAAGACCAAAGGAAGTAGTGCAAGACTGGTAAGAAAAAGGATAAGGGCCACCAGGCTCTCGATTTGTTTTTTACAAATCGAATCTGAAAATCTGCAGCGAACATTTGGAATCCCCTCCTTTGCAGTTCTAGTTACAGGAGTCTCTAGTCTGTTGAGGCCTTGAACAAATGTTCTTCCATTATTGGCATGCATTGGTGCTGCGCTCCAGTTGGGAAATTCCAACTTCCCAGTCGAAAAGAACCAACCGAATCGCCCTCCGAAGCCGGGTTTCCCACCGGGAAACCGGGAGCAACTCCCGACTGGAGTCCTCTTCGCGCTCCAGCTCTTGCAGTTCCTTCCATCAACAATGGTGAGATGATGTGGTGGGAAACGTGTTTATTTTACAAGACACACATGTGAGAGTGCGTCTGTAGTCAGTGTTGCATGTAGCGCCTGCAACAATAAACAGAGCAAATTAAAGGGATGTTTGTGTATGAAAAGTAAAGCCTAAAATGATGTTTGTAGGAGATGCCGCAAACAATGTTTATGGGCGTCGCCATGTTGAAATGCTGACATCTTAATTAGAAAGCTGTTTCCTCGGTTCTGACGTCAAAACCCACTTGGGGTTCCACCTTCCAAGCCGACTGGAATGCAGCATTATCTCCGTCCATGATCTCCTGAATACACTTTTATGTGTTTTCACTTGGTAAAAGAATCCTTCAGACCTTTTCCTCTCACCTCGGTGTCTGACAGGTAAGACCCTGATGGCATTCTCTGAAGGTTAGGGGGGGGTCCAACTGCTTTGGCGAGGCGCCGTACCCGGCCTGACCCCGCGGTCGGGGGAAACGTCACGCTGTCCGGCAACCTGCTCCATTCTGCTGCGGATTCAACGACCAGCCGCCCTGAGGTGACGGGGCAGTGGTTGAACCTGCAACAGAATCTTAACAGGTCTCCCACACTGGAAAAACACACAAATATAAATACCCTCAGATAATTATAGTGTATGGAGCGTGAAGCATGTGTTGAGCTTATCGTCTCACAAAGATTTATGGGCTGTCTGCAGACAACAGGATGTTGGAAGGGAAGAAGAAAAAAAGCATAATTTTAGGAAGCAGAAAGCACCTCTTAAAAATGTCTGTTTTCCTCCCAATTACACAAAATCCCACCCCTCCCTCCTCCTCTCTCTCTCTCTCTCTCTACTGGAGCCCCTGCGGCCGTTTTGGTCGCCACCGTTAGGGGGCGGCATTGTTTGCATAAACGCGAGGCAACAGAAGGCATCGCCAAGCACAAAGGGGGCACAGACACGGACATGATCAATTATGTGTCAAGCATTTCTTCCTCGGTGAATGGATGGCTCGGTGGCTACAGGGCTACCGGGCCGCCCATTGTCTATTGACGCTGGGAGACGAAGTTCTCATGCAGTTCATTATCCCCCAAAGAGGACAAACAGCGAGGGACCCAAAGAGGCCATTAATCATCATTCCCTTCAGAGAGGAGAAAAGAGGCGATCAAACCAGCAGGTACTGTAAGCCCAGCACTGCAAACACTGGAAAGTTGTTTTTTTTATGGTTTAAACAAAAAGGATCATAAACACATTTGCCTTTTTTTATTATTATGATGATGATGATGATGATCAAGGTCAGCACAGTCATCGCCATTAAACAATATAATTGAGACTTTTATGACATAAGTAGCTCGTTTATGATCAATTCCCCTCTCTTATTTAAAGTGGGCCAAAGTTTTTTTTTTTTTATGAACTCCAGTAGCCAATCCCACAGCTCGCTTCTGCTTTCAGTTTGACGAATAACTCCAAAGTCCATTTCAGTTCGGGTCGATGGCTCCGGCCGAACCGGGAAGGTGAGGGGAGTAAGGTGTGTGTGTGTGTGTGTGTGTGTGTGTGTGTGTGTGTGTGTGTTGGGAGGGGTGGGGGTCACCTTAATAACACCCTCCACCACCTCCACCATTCCCTAACCCATTTTCCTCCTCCTCCTCCGATCCCCTCCACGTCCCCATGAATGCCTTCGCTTCCTGCTTCCAACTTCGGACGGAGCGCCGTGATTGGCCACAGCGCACGCCGTGGGCCGTCCCCGCCCGCCTCTGCCCGCCCCCCTCTCGGCTCGGCTCGAGTTACCGAGCCGGAGCTAGGGCTGTTGCATACACACACACACACACACACGCACGCACACGCCACTCCGCACACACGCACATAACGCGCAAAAGCGTTCCAACCGGAGTCTTTTCGAGGAGACGATTTCTATTTTTATTTTTTTATTTTATTGAGGAAAGGAAAAAAAACAAAACAAATGAACGCGGAAAGATGGGAATGTCGCCGAGCTGATTGAGATCTACTCCTCGATCCCCCCACCTCCACTCCCCCCTCCCCAACAGACGCAGGTCGGATTCATCCTCCTCTAACACTTTGGGTCCAAAGAGCGGCGGTGCATTTTTACGCGCTGGGCATATCGCTCCGGGAAGGCGGACCGAGGCTCTGCACGCAGCGCAGTCCCCTCACGCTGAGAGCCGGGAGGGATATTTACAATAGAAACTCCCGATTCCTTTTAGCGGAGAAGAAGAATAGGAGGGGAGAGAAAAAAGGAGAAGAAGAAAAAGAAGGAGGAGGAGGAGTGAAAGATAACACTGGAATGAGGAGGACCTCCAAGATTCCTGGCGTGCTGCGGAGTTGTGACTGATGGATGAATGTGGTCATCTGTAGGCTAAAAACGGGCGACAGGTACAGGAGACCAGCGGGGAGCTTTTGACCGACCGGATTGAAACGTTGGAGGTTTTTTTTTCTTTTTTGTTTGTTTGTTTTGTTCGGGTTTTTTGTTTTTCCTCCCTCTCCTCCCCAAATAGGGTTAAAGAGGGGGAAAAAAAATTTAAAACAGCCACAGGTCATCCAGGACAGTCGTTTCCTCCAGATCATCCTGCGCACACATCGCTTCAGATCAGTCAAGGACGAAACGAGCAGCAGTCGGTGGAGAGAGAGGAGAGGAGAGGATTGATCAGACATATCGATAGCCGGGATAGGATCTGGAGACGGGTCTGAAGAGGAAGTCGGACAGGGGGACATGTATCTGACAGCGACCTCGCATGCTCCCGACTGATCCCGAGCTCAACCTTCCCACGGGCCGAAGCGCGCAGCCAAGGCGCGACGCAGCGCGGCCCCTGCCCCCCGCCGTCCCCCCGTCGCTCCGGCTTCTCCGGCTCTCTGTCCTCGGCGTGAATTCCCCCCCTCAGCATGGCGGGGCTCGGATGTTGGAAGTATTACCTCTGGATGTTTATTCTAACGTGCAGGTCGGCGCTGCCCTCGGCCAAGTCGCTGGAGACGATCATTTGGAGCTCGCAGAATCCCAAGTAAGTCCCGAGTCCTTCTAGTACAACACGAGCAGCAATTGCTGGGGAAAAAGTTGGAAATTGCATTGAGGTTCTGCTAAATTATATAATATATATATATATATATATTATATATATATATATATATATATATATATATATATATATATATATATATATATATATAGTTTTTATACATAATTTGCTTGGTTATAATTACCAGTCCTGCACACTGGGAGGTGTGTGTTTATATATATATTTACTCCACAGTGGGGGGAATTTCCCAAACACCAACAACCGCAGCTCAAACAATATCCAGCACGCAGGCCTTCACTTTAATCACAATAATGGATCGTTGATTATAGTAATTTATGGCAATATTACACGCAGCTTTTATTTTCAGACTCCAGTCTCCCAAAGTTTGGGGGAGTTTATCCTTAATTTCCTCGCACAGCCTTGTAATTGGGTGTTATTTGCTAAAAAAGAGGGGATGGATGGAGGGTCGTAGGGGGTGTGAGTCATGTAAACTGTTGCAAAGTGTGTCAAGGTGAAGCAGTCATCTCTCTCTCTCTGTCTCTCGTTTTATTTTTCGCCTTCTTTTTTCTCAAGCACTCTGTGAGGCTTCAAACATGAGGGCCACCTCGTATTCTAGATCTCACGGTTCTCCACTCCCCACAACAAAGAGTCCAAGTGAATCCACTTATAAGAGGCGAATGGTTTAAAGAAAAATAAATAAATAAATAAATACACTTAAAGAAAAAAAAGAAATCACATTTTCTTAATTGCTCTGGCTGGGTACCAGGCTTAATTTCTGAAAGCAAAAGGCAAGTTTACCTCCTCCTCCTTAAAATTCCCATTATTCCCACCAAAAAGAAGCAGAGCGGAGCCCAGACTTCTGATAGCACATTATGCTCTGGCAGCAATTATCACCCACTTAGACGTGACTCCCGCGTTTTGCACGATGTTGGAAAGCGTTCATAAAGAGGACGGGAGACGGGAGGGGAGGGTAAACTGCAAAAAAAAACAAAAAAAAAACTGGATGTGACCTTCATCTGAGCTCAAAGCAGGCCAGGGGACTGTTGAGACGGACAGTAGCTTTGGCCAGCTTCTAACTGGAACTTAGTCATTCAAGTGAATCCATGATTTATCCCCCAAATGTCAGATGTCATAGGGGCTCGTTGTGCAGCCAGCGAGTAGGAATATTGCTGCCATGTTCACTGGGCTGTGTATATATATGTGTGTGTGTGTGTGTGTGGCCACCGCTCTAATGGCAAGACTACGGTCCATCAGCTTTTATTTGACTCTGGCTGCGCCGCGTATATACACCACACACTCTCACACACACGCATACACATATATATTTATGTACATATATAGATATATATGTATATATATAAACACACACTAGATGTGGTGTATTGAGGTTTTAAGACGTCACTTGATCTTTCTCATAAGCCGGTTTTCCCTCGTATCCAGAAGCGCTGTGTTGTTGCAACAGGCCCTCAGCGCCGTTCCTGCTTCTTGATGGAACGTCGGGAGTTCAGACAGTTACCTAGACGATTTATTTGCCGACTGGTATTTTATGGTCCGTACTACAAATTGGATTGAACTGGACCGTTTGTGAACTGATCTCAATCTAGCTGCGTGCTCTGGATCGGTTTGGGCTGAATTTTGTTTGAATCTCAGTTCCGTGACTTGAAAAGCGCCCAAACGGAGCCATTTTTGTGGAATGTGGCGCTGGACAGATAAGTTGAGCTTTAATCTGCATTTATAGATTTTGTGTGCCTTTTTTTAAAAGTCTGGTGTGAATTCAGGGGATTCCCAAACGGTTTAAAGTAGCAGTTCACCAAGACTTTCATCACCAACTTGTAACAAGTTCGTATTGGATGGATGGATGCTTTTGGAAATATTTCTCCTGCTTGATTTCAGTAGCAAAAGTTATCATCTTGCAGTTAGAAAGTTGTGGGCTCAATCTTGACTTCCTCATGTTGACGCTTCTCTTGGAAAAGTTCTTAACTCTACCAATCTGCAGATTATTAAAAAATATAGAAAAACAAAACCGAAAAAAAAAGAAGAAAAAAAAATCAATATATTGTCTGTTTGTGCTGTGATTTTAACAATTTAGGAATACACTCAGCTAAGTTGGGGTCACGGGTCTCAACTCTGTTACATTGTGAGCCTGAAGCTAAACCAGTTTGGATGCATGCAGCTTAAAAAATCCTTTTTAATGAGAGGTCGGAGAGAGAGAGAGAGAGAGAGGGTCTGGCCGCGAGGAGCGTGGAGCCCAGCTGTTGCTGCATACTGCCGGTCAGCTGGCCAATAGGAAGGTACGACGCTCCCGTGGAGACAGACAGACAGACAGATAGACTCGACCTGCTGGAAGTACTCCTAGTCACGAAAAGTCCTGAAAGTAATGGCGTGTCGACCAAAATGTGAAGAAAAAAGATTTCATTGGGGCCAAGGTTTACTCAGCCATCTTTGAGAGAGCCATTTTTCACTCTTGCTGTAACAGTGTCCTGTGGCTCATTTCTCCTTATTATATCATGTGCAAAGAAAAAAAAAAGGCCCTTTATTTGTTGAGGCATGAAAAGTTTTTTAACTTGATTTAATTTCAGTTAATTTCATTTGAAAGTGGAATTTTCTGTCAGGAAATGGAGGAGCCCGGTTTCACCGAGTGTTGTTTAAAAATAAAAGGTGCAGGTCGGGTTGTTTTGTAAGTCTGCAGTCACATGAAGAGTGAAGGACGTGTTCAACACGAGCCGACGCAGCCGGGTTCGCTGCTCCATGAATCAATCGCTGCACGTCAACGACGAAGCTGAAGTTCTGCACGTCCAGAACTTTGATTTGAAAACTGCTCATGATTTAAACAGGTGTTTCTTTCTGTTGTTCATCTAAACGAAAGCAATCATTAAACGGTACGACTTTAATGATCTGCTTAACTTGCAGCAGCACAAATCATTGTTGTCTTTTATGTTTCAAATCAAGGCCTTTTGATAATTTTTTACATTTTTTTTTTGCTTTTGTTTTGAATTGTTGCGTATTTGGAATAAAACTAATTATAGGATGGAAAATGTCAGGGTTGCCCATGTCTGTAACACACACACACACACACACACACACACACACACACACACACACACACACACACACACACACACACACACACACACACACACACACACACACACACACGCTGCCACAAAGCTTTAATCAAAAAAAAAAGAAAGAAAGAGAGGAGACATTTATTGATTGATGATGTCACCTGGAGAGAATGTCTCCGAAGGTTACCACGCTGCTTTTGAGGAGAATATTGGAGATCATTTCTCCATCTGTTCTCTTTCTCTCTTCTCTCTCCCTCTCTGCTCCTTGTAAAAATCCCCCAACGCCGGCTGAATATTTCATAAAGTTCACAGTGGAACAATAATGCACTCTGCAAAGTGTTCTCTCAAGCTAATTATCCTGCTGCTCTCCCCTCAGAAAACAATAGACAATTATCTTTCCCCTCTCTCTCTCTCTATCTTTGCTTCTCTCTCTCTCAGTGTGTGTGTGTGTTTGCTTGGAGTACGTTACAATGACAACAACAGCAAAAGACAAACCTGCTTTCCTTGTGAAATGTATCCATCAGCTGGACGCCGCGAGAAGGCAATAAAGGAGCGGGATACATGCGCCGCAATCAGCATCAGTCTTCCCTGCTCGCTGCTGCAAAGTCCCCCGTCTCCTCTGCTTGTGTTGCTCTGTGGTGATAATAGGAGGAGAACACCTATGGAAACGTGCAGCGCGCCGCGCTATCTGGCGACTTATCCAGATTTACGACGCCTCACTTCCTGTTCCTGCTTTGGGGAGCTCTGCTGCCTCAGCTAATAAATTAACTTAGCCCCTCTGCATGTGCGCTGTGCCACATGCACGCACGGCCTGACAATACCAGCGCTTCCCTGCAGGCCTTGAGTTATGAGGCAAAGTATTGGGAAACAGCAGCAGCAGGTTTGGGGCACTAGGTTGTGTGCATATATATATATATATATATATATATATATATATATATATATATATATATATATATATATATATATATATATATATATATATATATATATATGTATATGTATTTGTGTGTGTGTGTGTGCGCCTTTTCACATATGCAGCTCCTTTATAGATTTTCATGTGAGGATGCAATCACTCCGGCTTCGGCAGCATCAGCAGCAGCGTTATCAATGACTGGGGCTTGCTTAATTGATTTTCCCCCCAGCATGCTTGAACAGGCAACATACATCTTTGCCGGGGCGCTGCTGACTTGAAAGAAAAACATAATAAGAAGTAACGTCGTGGACGCTTGTTTGGCTGCAGGACGCATGAGACCTTTTTCATATTTAATTTGACTTTGGATGAGTGACTAGAGGAGTAGGGAGGGTGGAGGGGTGGGGTTGGGGGTGGAGGGAGCAGGCGTGGAGAAGAAGACTGGATGTGTCAACTTTCCCAAGCCGGTAAAAGAAGCTCCCCCAACATTTGATCGGAACAAATCGGATTAGCTCTCATTTAGCTGAGTGGGATTACCCCAGAAAATGTCACTTTGTTATGACTAATCACGTCCCATCCGTTTGGGTTGGAGCCCTCTGCGAGCGACGCCGTAAACACACACACACACACACTGACTCTCTTTCTCGACGTCCTCAGGAATGTCACAGTGATGCCAATTTTACAATAATCTGACAAGGTCGCTGAGAGGGGCTCCTGCGCTGTCCTCTAACCCTCCTCGGCTAATATTTACCCCATGACCCCTCGGCTGCCTCGGCCTGTCGGCGGCGGCAGATCAGCAGAAAGCGAACAAGGAGGTGACACACTTCTAGGTTGTTTTTTTGTTTGTTTTTTTTTTTTTTTTTAAACTTCCTGCTCTAGATTTGTCCTCCTCACACGTAGGTTTGCAGGCACTTTTCGGTTTCGAGGCCCCACAAAGGAAGGAGACATAACGAGTAGACGGGACGCATTTTGGCGTCGATTGCAGACGATAGCTGTGGGTTTCTTCC